AGTTAACATTTGGAAAACTGCCTCCACATTCCTGCTGCTTTTCGCCGAGGTCTCGATATACTTTGCTTCGAGGGAAACAGCCAGCTTCTCAGCCTCCCTTTGTTTCACCTTCCGTTCAGCCTCCAGATCACTCTTGTTCCCCACCAGCACGAAAACTGGGTGGTGAGGTTTGACTGTGTCTACCACTTCCTGGTGCCAGCTCCTGATGTTCTCAAATGATGCCCGATTGGTTAGGTCAAACATCAGGACTCCCCCAGCTGCATTACGGTAGTAAGAACGTGTCACTGATCTACATCACAGAAAGAAAATTTGCTGAGCATGGAAACATTGCAAGAAGTCAGAAATATCTTAAATTAGAGCAGGGTTGCGTTCAACGAGAGAATAAGGATAAATCTATCGCTTTCATCCAAATGGAGCCAGGAACATCCATTTCTATTTTTCTTAAGAAAAGTAATTGCTTCCCAGTCAATGAAGGTTGTTTTATTTGGCAAAAATATTACCCTCTCTAATTTTATTTCCAGTTTAATGTTAGTGTTTTTTAAAATTAATTTTGCTTTTACAATATGCACTTTGCTGTTTACAGTTACATTGCCTGGAGGAACTTTCTGGGACATTAATTGGGCATCTATTTTTGTGAAATTCCAATAACTTTTAATATATACATTTGCATAAATACATTAGAATAAGTACAAGTCTCATTTCATTACATATTTTCCATCACTTGGCTGTCCTTGATCAGGGATTCTAGATTCTTTTTAAACAAAACTCACAACTTCCAGAATCCCAAAAAGTCTGAAACCCCCTGAACTAAAGCGTTCAGTCAAACTAATCAAGTTAAACTAAGCTTTCAAGTTCTCTATTAATGTGTGAATTGTAATATTGTTCAGGTATTTCATGTTCCTTAGGGTGTGGTGGTAGAAATCTGTGGTCACACGAGTCATCTATAGGGAGGGACTCTAGTTCCCTGTCTCACCTGAATACTTAGATTAAAGCAATTAAAGTATAACTGCAGTATAGCAGTTAAAAAATGTCAAGGTGTAATCAGTCAGACCGGTCTGCCTGAAAAACTTCATATATATATATATATATATATATATTTGTTTTCTGAGGTTTTCGCGGGTGTTTGTATGTAGGTCTTTGGTTTTTCGGGTTTTCTCCCGCGTAAAATTGGAAGTGTCTTGGCGACGTTTCGACGAAGTCCCATTCGTCATCTTCAGGCTGGTGCTTTCAGCTTCGTGCTCCTCGAAGCTGAAAACATCAGCCTGAAGATGACGAATGGGACTTCGTCGAAACGTCGCCAAGACACTTCCAATTTTATGCGGGAGAAAACCCGAACAACCAAAGACCTACACACACATATATATACATACACATACACACACACACATACCGGAATTTTGATCATGTAATGGTGCAGAAACCAGTCACTTTTTTCAGTGCCATTGTAATATTGAATGGTCACTAACTAAATGGCTTTTCCCTTCTTGTAAGGGGAAGAAAAAAAGCTGGAGTCTCTTAGCTTGTCTGAAACTAAATAGCTTTGTTCTTTCCCTGGGAACATCTAATCACCAGAATGTTGCAGTTAGTAAGATCCTCATCATGGCGTTGCTCTTTTATTCTTTTCCTCGTGTGTCCCATCTGTTCCTTTGTTTACTTATTCCTCACATTTACACAGCCACCCTTCTCGGAAATTTGACACTGGGAGGCACATCATAAAAACAATCATAAAAAACTAATACTGAAACATTCCATAATAAAAAGCATCAATATAGGTAGTCCTCAACTTACAGTCACTCGTTTAATGACCAGCTGAAGTTACAACGGCACTGAAAAACATGACTTATGACTGTTTTTCACACTTATGACTATTGCAGCATCCCATGGTCACATGACCAAAATTCAGACACTTGGCAACTGGCATGTACTTATAACTGTTGCAGTATCCCAGGGTCATGTGGTCACCTTTTGCATCTTCTGACCAGCAAAGTCAATGGAGAAGCCAGATTCACTTAACAACCATGTTACTCACTTAACAACTTCAGCAATTCATTTAACAAGTGCAGCAAAAAAGATTGTAAGATGGGGCAAAACTCACTTAACTTGTTTAGCGACAAAATTTTTGTCGTAAGTCAAGTACTGCCTGTACATTACACCAGAGGTCTCCAACCCCCAGGCCATGGATTGGTAACTGGGCTGCGGCCTGCCAGAAACCAGCCCACGCAAACAATTGAAGCCCAATCCATGGGATGCAGGCAGCACATGAAACCACGTCCCCTCCGGTCCACGAAAAAACCTCTCCCCACAGAACCAGTCCCTGATGCCTAAAAGGTTGGGGGCGTCTGCATTACACTGACTGTCTTCATACTCTATGAGAATCTAACTAAAAACAGTGCTGGGAATCTAAAGTTTTTAGTCCTCCAAACAACTAGGAAGCAAAGCTTAAGCCTCCTTTCATTTGCAGGCTTTATCAGTTCATCTCATTAACATCTTCCAAGGCTTGGAAAAGGCCCATCATTTCTGGCCTTTTGGCTGAGAGATCCCAGACCAGCCTTTCTCCCATGACTCACCTGAACCGTTCTTGGCCCGCCGTATCCCAGAACTGCAGCTTGAAACGCAGTTTGGGCTCCATCTCCAGAAAGTGGACATAAAAGTCCACCCCCACCGTTTGGTTCATGGACTCCACAAAGACCCCGTCAGCATAGCGCTTCAGAAGACACGATTTCCCCACCGTGGAATCACCCAGCATGATGATCCGGAACTGATAGTCCCAGGGAGAATCCACAGCCATTGGTAGGCTGGAAGAAGGAGAGCCTCTGGAAGCTGCTATCTCTTGTGTGCCTGTGTCGGTGTCGGTCTGTGGGCGTGCATGCGTGTGCACTGGTGGAGCGGAGTGAGAAAGCTCATGCTGGCTCAAAATAAAACAGGAACACTCGAATCTGGGGTTCAACCTGGAGTCCCAAACAGTGGAAAAAGTTCTCACCCAAGTAGGAAACTGGTTGAGACTTGTTTGAGATTAGCACAGGTAATTGCTCTCCCTTTGACCGCCTGAGGCTGTGGCTCTCTTATTCCATGTTTGGGCAGGCAGACTGCTCCTAAGGGAGGCAGGATGTGCACACTCTCCCTGTCCTGCTCCTCCCTGAAAATGGGCTGTGTTTAGCGAAGGCCAAGCCAGGCCAGGCAAGAACACATTTCACCTACATTCAACAGCCTTCAACAAGGTTTCTCTTCTTTCAGGGACGCTAGTCAAAGTAGCCTTCTTAGGCAGCTGAGTGAACAAAAGCCTCCTAAAACTCAGAGGAGGTTGTTGTGCAAACACAGCCAAAATGTGTACACACCCAACCCCATGTAGTTGAACAATAATTTACACAGTAACAAGCTAGGCTAACATGTAGTTGCCTAATTGGTAGTCAATTCTGTTTATGTGTTGATGCACATGTATCTGTGTCCTCGCATGCATTTGGTGTATTGCAGTCCTGGATAAAGCCAGTTTACAGGAAATACGGTAGATGTCCCTTTAAAAAGGCACTGCATATATGCACCATGGCTGTGAAAAAGAAAATACTGCTGGGCCATCTCACCAAAACTGAATAAAACTTGTTTAGTGCAATGTATGAATTTAGTCCTGGAGCCCTGGTGGCGCAGTGTTAGAATGCAGGATTGCAATACTGCCCACAGCCTGAAGTTCGATCCTGATGGGGCTCAAGATTGACTAAGCCTTCCATCCATCCGAGGTCGGTAAAATTAATTGTTGGGGGCAATATATTGACTCTGTAAACTGCTTAGAGAGGGCTATAAGGTACTGTAAAGCGGTATGTAAGTCTAAGTGCTATTGCTATTGCTGTTTGTCCCAAAATCCTGGCATGTATGTGTTTTCTGTGGAAGGAACAGACTCAGTGTTAGAAACTCAGCATTTTATATAGAAATCCCATGTGCAAATAGTCCTCTACTATTATTTATTTAGTGACTGTTCAAAGTTACACCGGCATGGAAAAAAGTGAGTTATGACTGGTCTTCGCACCTATGATAGCATCCCCAGAGTCATGTGATGAAAGTTTGAGTGCTTGGTAACTGATGTGTATTTACAATAGTTGCAGCATCCTGGGATTGTGTATTTGCCATTTGTGACTTTCCCAGCTGTCTTCTTTCAGTGGGACTTATTTATGGCGAGCAAAGTTTAGGAATCAACTTTAAATGATGTACTTTATCATATGGGTAAAAAGGGAGTGGAATTTATAACACCTGTCTGTATTTGTGTATGAGATACAATCTTGCATTACCCGAGTATTTATATATAAATGTTGGTTCTCATGGCTACTTCTGTGGGTGAGTTTCAGCTAGGATGGTAGGTATGGTGCCCAGATAGAAAATGACACCTAACCAATGTTGGCTAATATAGAAAGCAAAGCAAACAGGGTTGGTTCATATTAATGCTTTGAGAAACCACTAGGAAATCCATCTGCTGTGGGCTAAATTGGGAAGATCAAGCAAACCACTCCAAGAAAATGCAGGAAAACTACTTCCAAATCACATGGAAGCTGTAGGGATATGTCCCCAACAGATCCTGAGTGGATTTCAACTTAGGAAGTGATTTTATTTTACTGTTAGAGTTAGTGTTTACCATAAAACCCAGAGAAAGCATCACTTTTCCTTCAGCAATAGGAAGAACAGTGTTCTAAACCAGGGGTCTTCAAACTTGGCCCTTTTATGATTTGTGGACTTCAACTTCCAGAATTCCTCAGTCCACAATTCATAAAAGGGCCAAGTTTGAAGATCCCTATTCTAAACCCTTGTTTCCTTCATTTCAAGAATTACACACTGAGAGATCATTTATTGTGATGTGAACACTACCTAGCATGGAAAAATGGCCAGTGAAGACAATGACAATAAACAAAGCTATACATATTATTATATATTATTACCATTTAACAGGGAAGTAAATGTTTTTACATCAGATATTTTCAGGATTGTGGAAATGAAGATTTCCTCAAAACATTTGACAACCATAAGATTCTCCCCAGTTCTACACAGCAAGGTAAAATAGTGAATAATGGAAAGAAGCTGTTTCTAACCTGCAAAATGCAGAACAAGGCTGCACGATGACGCTGGGATTAGTGCAGCGGTTTTTACTCCTGACTCAGCACTACATCTGTCTGTCTGCAATCCTTCTCACAACTTGTCCCTTCCATCTAGTGGCTGGATGAAGTTAGCAGCTGGATGAATAAGGATATAGGACGAGGGCCAGAAAGCCTGTCCAGGTTGAGACTATGAGCTGCAATTAACAGGATGGTGATGTGAAAGTGGGCTGAGATTTCCCAGAGGATCTCTTTTTAGGATGTAATCTGGGTCAGGCACTGGGACCAGAGGTTTAGTCTTCCAAGCTTTCGGACTCGTGCTGGAGCCCATCCCAGGAGAAGAGAGAGAAATTGGTGAGGGAGAAGTTCCCAGAGGATGGGCTTCAGCATGATCTGAAAGTCTGGAAGACTAAACCTCCCTCCAGTCCCGGTGATCGACCCAGATTGGATCCTGCAACATTATCCTGGTACATTGCTTTCATTTGTGATATCTTTTTAGTTTTGATGCTAAAAAAAAAAAAACATTTCAAGTTGAGAATTAAAAAAAAATGCTCTTTTCTTTTGTATCTAAAGACAACGGGAAAATATGTCACTGATTTTCAGCAGGAAACAAGATCTGAGATGAGATTAGAAAGAGCTCCGGAAGATGTAGTAAAGTACTTGGGGGTCACAGGTTGTGGATGGTCTCATTTTGGTAAGGATCAACCCAATGGATTAAGTCTGTGTTTCATCTAAGGAAGAATTCTATTTTGAATAGCCAGTGTCCTGTAACATCCAGTTCTAACCGAGTTAACACTGGCATGCTTCTTTGGATGGCTTCTTCCTTTGCAGACTGCTTGCTCTCCTCTTATAAATGATTTTCACGCCATCCCAGCCTTCCTGCAGGTCAAACTCTTTGTTTCTCAGAGCCTCATAGATAGCATTGGTGATAGTCTCAAAAGCCAGGTCTATGTTGGTGTCAGTTTTGGCAGATGTTTCTATAAAAGATGTGCCTAGAGACATGGCCAAGCCTTCTGCTTCCTCCAGGGTGACCCTGTTCATTGATTCAAGATCACATTTGTGGCCAACTAGGAGGAAAATTACTTTGTCCATCACATTGGTCACCTCATTGTACCAATCAAAGATACTCTCAAAAGACCTTCGATTGGTCATATCAAAGATCAGCAGCACACCAACCGCGTTCCGGTAGAAAGACCTGGTGATGCACCTAAGAGGGGGAAAAGGCCAAATTGATACATTAGCTTTTTCTCCAATATATCAGAGTTAACTAGAGCAGGATTCTCAACTTTGGCAACTTTAAGATCTGTGGACTTCCAACTCCCAGAATTCTTCAGCCAGCATGGCTGGCTGAAGAATTCTGGGAGTTGAAGTCCACAAGTCTTCAAGTTTGGAGACCCCTAATCTAGAGAACAGAATTATTAATCTTTATTGTAATCTATAACAAGATATAATTTACTTGGACTTCAGTAAGGCATTTGATAAAGTAGATCACAATAAGATAGAAAAATCTGGGTTAGACAGCATCACCACCAGATGGATTCGTAGCTGGCTGACCGGCTGTATTCAGTGAGTGGTCCTTAATGGAACTGCATCTCCATGGAGGGAAGTGTGTAGTGGGATGCCCCAGGGCTCTGTTCTGGGCCCAGTGCTCTTCAACATCTTCATCAACGATTTGGACAAGGGGATAGATGGGGAACTCATCAAATTTGCAGACAACACCAAGCTGGCAGGAATAGCCAACATTCCAGAAGACAGGCTTAAGATACAGGAGGATCTGGACAGACTTGAACACTGGGCGCTATCTAACAAAATGAAAATCAATGGTGAAAAAAGTAAGGTTCTACATTTAGGCAAGAAAAACCAAATGTACATGTATAGTATAGGGGGCACCATGCTCAATAGTAGTAACTGTGAGAGGGATCTCGGAGTCCTAGTGGACAATAACTTAAATATGAGCCAGCGGTGCGCTGTACTGCCAAAAAAGCCAACACAGTGCTAGGCTGCATTAACAGAGAGATAGAATCAAGATCACGTGAAGTATTAATACCGCTTTATAATGCTTTGGTAAGGCCACACTTGGAATACTGCATCCAGTTTTGGTCACCACGGTGTAAAAAAGATGTTGAGACTCTAGAAAGAGTACAGAGAAGAGCAACAAAGATGATTAGGGGACTGGAGGCTAAAACATATAAGGAACGGTTGCTAGAATTGGGTATGTCTAGTTTAACGAAGAGAAGGACAAGGGGGGAAATGATAGCAGTGTTCCAATATCTCAGGGGCTGCCATAAAGAAGAGGGAATTAAGCTATTTTCCAAAGCACCTGAAGGCAGGACCAGAAGCAACGGGTGGAAACTAATCAAGGAGAGAAGCAACCTAGAACTAAGGAGAAACTTCCTGACAGTGAGAACAATTAATCAGTGGAACAGCCTGCCTCCAGAAGCAGTAAATGCTCCAACACTGGAAGTTTTTAAGAAGAGAATGGACAGCCATTTGTCCGAAATGGTGTAGGGTTTCCTGCCTGAGCAGGGGGTTGGACTAGATGACCTCCAAGGTCCCTTCCAACTTTACTACTACTACTACTACTACTACTACTACTACTACTACTACTACTACTACTATTATTATTATTATTTTCATGATAGGCTACTAATATCTCTTTATAGGATTTTTTTTATGTACAACCTTGCTTGACAAATAAATATCCTAAAATAACTCCTTCGCTGAGTTTATAACTGTGGCCTGTAGAATGCGTGCTTTTCTAAAAGCTATGTAAACTAAGCACTATCCTAAGACTTTTTATTATGTCTGTTATGCTATGGTTTTTATGTTGTCTAAGTCTATGACCTATGATAAACATCCTACTACTGCAAGATATCAGAACTATTTGTTGAAGCACTTGTCTGGATACTGTTTCCTTCCATCATGTGCTCACTGACCTTGATCTGGAGTGGTGTTTGCAAAGCAATTTATTTAGATGTAAACATAGGTGAATCCTATTGAGATGATATACAGGTGGTCCTTGACTTATGACTGTAATTTCAGTCTGCAATTTCAGTCATAAGTCATGATAGTCATAAAGCAGGTCACCATGTGATCTTGTCTGATTTTATAACTTTTTTGGTGCAGGTCATTAAGCAAACCCATTGGTTGCTATGGAACATTTTTTTGCTGGCAATCAGAAGCAAGCACCAGTTCTACACAAGAATTATAGATTACAAAACTGAGAGTGTTTTATAATGCTTATAACTGCATGCTTCAGATATATCCAATAAGCAGTACACAAAGATGCTATTTGTAACTAATCCAGATTATATTACCAAGTATGTGTGTTATAAAAAAAAGTAAGTAATAGAAACTTGACAGTATCTTGGTGTGGGGAGGACACTGAACCTGGGACATTGGGCATGCAAAGTGATTTGTTCCTGAGCAATGTCCCTGATCAGGTAGTCCTCGATTTAGACTGCAATTGAGCTCAAAATTTCCATAGCTAAGCAAGACAGTTGATAAGTGAGTTTTGCCCTATTTTATGAGTTTTCTTGCCACAGTTGTTAAATGAATCATTGCAGTTGTAAAGTTAGCAACACGGTTGTTAAGTGAATCCAGCTTTCCCATTGCTTTTGGTTGTCAGAAGGTTACAAAAGGTGATCACATGATCCTGGGACACTGCAACCATCATAAATATGAGCCAGTTGCAAGAGTCTGAATTTTGATCACATGACGGTGGGGATGCTGCAATGGTTGTGTCAAAAACGGTTATAAGTCATTTTTTTAGTGTTGTTGTAACTTTGAATGGTCACTAAATGAACGGCTGTAAATCAAGGACTATCTGTAATCTGGAATTTTCCTGCCCCTTATTTAAAAATATACCAGAACCAACAAGAATTGTATGAAAACAAAACTACTGTTCCCTTTTATCTCCCAAGGGGTAGTCCCACCAGTGTTTCACAACACAAACAGGATCCAGGAGCTCCTTAATGACCAACAGTTCATTATCAGATTAACTTAACCAGTTCATAGTCCATTACTCTGTGAATCTAATGACACAGGTTAGGTCTGTGAAGACTTACCAGTTAATAAATGGGATGTCTTTAAGGTGCCCCAACATTGTGTTCTTTTGTCTTCTATCTCCAGATTAGACTTGAAATCTCAGCTTCAATCATATCATACATCTCCCAGGTTCCCTTTCTTTCAGCTGCTGGCCCCACACCTCTTCAGATAACAGATGCCAGCTGTAATCAGGAGGAGGGTGGGGAAAGCTCTCAAGGCCAAGTCATTCAGGGGATTAATTCATAACCAAAGCAGGAGTTTGAGACAGTCTTCCTGGAACCTTCCTTAATAAAAGGAGAACTTCTAAACCTAAAGGGAAGGTGGCTGGATTATCACATTTTGAAGAACCATATCTAGAATTCTAGATCTCCATTTAAATGCTGGGGCAATTCTTAAGAGTGATAATTCCTAAGCTCCATGGTTAATATTCTCCGCTGCTTACAGAAAGTAAGTCTATAAACCAGAACTTCAGAAGCAGAAGTTTGCAGCTTATTTGCTGCATAAGTATTTTGTGCCTTCTGAGGTTGGTAGCTGAGAAACCCTGGTTTCTGAAGGTTTCTGAAATTGCTCACAATTTGCCTCCAGTTTCCAAGACCTTATCTCTGGTCGGTCTGCTGATGTAGCTTGTGAACTGAAATTGTGGTCCTCAGCAGGACAGCTAATTTGTTTTTTAAATGTATTATGTATTATCTGGTAGATTGATATCAGTTTTCCTCCCGGAGCTCATAATAATCCTTTCCCATTTTCCCAACAATTCCATTAGGTAGAAATTGAGAGAATAACTGGTCTAAGTGTTCACTGAAGACCTTCTGTGGGTGCGGGAGGGGCTAGAATCTATGTTTCCTTGCTCATAGCCCAACAACTCCATAACAACATCATGCTGCTTCTCACTTTTGGAGCAACGTAAGAATTCAACAAAATGGTGGAAATAGCTGGCCATTTTAGGTCTGTGGAGGTGCCAAGCCTATCCTTGTTGAAAGGTACCACCATCAGTGGCCTTCCATTTGTTCTGCTTTGGTTCTGAATGGGGTTCCCCTTACAACTTGCCCAATGTTTTGACCTTTAAATATCCTTGCTCTGAAACATTTTATCTCGAGGGCTAGAATATTTCAATCTTGAATCATTTAGCACCCTTCTGGGCTCTCCTTACCTGAACCTTTCCTGACCAGCAGTGTCCCAGAGCTGAAGCTTCACCTTGATTCCTGGAGGGAGCTCCATCATCTTGCTGTAGAACTCTACACCCACTGTGGGACATGGGGTTGGGATGAAGCATCGCTCTGTGTATCGCCGCAGCAGAGATGTTTTGCCCACGGTGGAATCACCCAGCAGGAGGATCCGAAACTGGTAGTGCCAGTTGCCACTGGGTGGGTGGGCCGGCATTATCAGCCCCAATTTTGTCTCAGTAGATACTTCCATTGTGGAAAGGTTGACAGTGGGAGCAGGAGAGCAGCCTTGGCGTGGAACCTTGAGAAGAACCTGATTGTCCCTCCTCTGCTGATCTCAACAAAGTTCTTCTACTGACAGAACTCTACAGGATGAAGATACAGAGGTCTCCACCCTCGAGACTCCCCCCCCCCAAACTACTATCTCCTCTGGAGCAAGGAAAAGCCAACCCACCTCTTAGGAGGAATTCCTTTCGCTCCTCCTCCCTCAGCTCCACCTATCACATTCCCTTCTAGCTTGGCTTCTCCAAACAACAAAGCCTTGAGGTGATCTGAATTCTGTTTTTAAGGGATGATTATACAGAAACATGGATTGCCTTGGACATTATGTGGTTTTAGATTTTTTTTTCTTTGATGTCCTGTTTTAATCAGAGTCACCTTTGTGAGTTAGGCAGAGACAATAATTGAATATATAAATACATAAGTCTATTATTTCAGATACGTGTGCATAAACAACTGTGTCTACTAGACTTCTCCAGAATATCATCTCCAAGCTCTCTGAATTGCTGCAATTGTGGAATAAAGTAGAATTCTGGGACATCCCAGAAGATCAGATTTCAAAGATCAGCTTTAGAACTCAGTGGATTCCACTTCTGTAGAAATCAAGTTCATCAAAGAGAATGTAGATGTTCCATCTAGTAGCAGCTGGGCTTCTTGCTTGATTCAGAGGACCATGACGCAAACCTATACCAATGTTTTTTAGGAGCACTCAAATTCTAAAAGAAAAAAGGGGAGGAGGTAAAGGAAATCTACCAGTTTTCTTCCCCTTTGCAAATTGACTGTATCACATCCGCACCCACAGCTCTTAAGAACAACATGCATTCTTCCCCAGTTCCTCTTTCCTTTACATGCCAGTCTCTTAAAATAAATCAGTCTTGCTGTTTTGTTATCTATATTCTTCCAGACATTAACTGATAAACTATTTAGATTTGTAGTAGCTTCTGGGGAAGAGCTTAAAGGAAGACCTTTCTGGAGGACTTGTGTTCCTTACCATGCAGCAAACCCTCATCTCCAAAAGCAGAGTTAATGCAGGACTAGGAAGCCATGGGAAGTCTTCTTTGCCTTCCCTGCTCTCCTTAGCTGCCTCCAGCGCTTATCTAATCTCTTCCCCCAGCCCCCAGTCATGTGCCAGCAGCTCCTAATATTATGCATGAGGGCTAATTCACTCCATCTATTTTGCACATATAGGACAAAAGTCCTTGAGCAAGGGGGGCCCTCTTGCTTTTTCTTTCCAACTTCATTTCATCTGAAAGGCATACCTTCCATCTAGCAAAAATATTGATAAAGCAATTGGAAAATTAGTTTGCAAAGAACATCCAACACCATCTTAATAGTCCATTATATCAGCCATTATAGATAGCCACCTCTTCTGATGACTGGAGAAGTTGAAACTTCACAAGCAAAATGGGTGCATTTTTAAGTTTTTATCCCCTTCTTTGCTTTTTGATTACTTTAAAACTTTCTCATGCTTTCATGGCAGGGAATAGTTGCTTCCTCCAGGCTGGAGAGTGGTTGCTTATTTTTCCCCAGCAGGCCTTCAGACACCCCACACATGCAAAAAAATTCCAACTGCTTATGCTTCGTTACCCAGGTGTGCTGAATTTCTATCTGACATGGTTGTGAAAGACACAGCAGTCCTAAAAATAGAATTGACCAAACAATTACATCTTATCAGCCCTCCTGTTCCTTGTAGTTTTTCAAAATCCAGGTGATCGAAGATCAACTGTGCATGAAAAGCATCAGGTATTCTGTTTCTGTATGCGTATGGTTTTTGAGGCTTTGGAATCACAAGGCATGGAGAAAAATGCTGGCGCTCACTTGAGTTTGACACTTGCATCCATCCTGCCAGTGATGTCAGCTGTGGCTTACAGCTTGTACACTTTCTATGCATGTCTAACAAACTGCAGTTTATTGTTAATCCTTGATTTATAACAATTTATATTGTTAATCCTTGATATATACAATTGAGCCCAAAATTTCCGATGCTAAGTGTTAATTTTGCCCCATTTTATGACCTTTCTTGCCAGTTAAGTGAATCGCTGCAGTTGTTAAATTAGCAACATGGTTAAGTGAATCTGGTGTCTCAACTGATTGCTGTCAGGTCACAAATGATGATCATGGAAAACAACCATCTTGAGTCAGTTGCCAAGTGTCAGAATTTTGATCACATGCTGCAAGTCTTAAATGTGAAAAATGGTCATGTCCTTTTTTTCAGTGCCACTGTAACTTCAGTCACTAAATGAATTGTCATAAGTTGAGGACCACTTGTATACATTCACATAAGCTATGTCTTGGCATCTGTGTGAGACCAGCCATTAGCCACCCAGCCTGTATTGTTTGCTGATTTACAACCTTTTCTAACATTTATTATGCTGCTCACCTCCCCTATAAGGTGGAATCTGGGTGGCTTACAAGTGATAAACATCTATAATCATGTCTTATTTTTTGAAAAAGAAGATGCTTTAATTCAAATTGAGGCACACAAGAAATGTTCAAAAGCAAGCCCATCCAGGCTTTAGATTGTCTTCTGAACCTATTTCAATGAATAGTTGAAATACATTAATTAAAACTTGCAATCTTAAGTACAAGTCAAAGCTAGTTGCCAGTTTGGCTGCCAGGATTAATCTATGTTAGTGCATAGGATGCATTTTATGTCAAGGAGTGGGCAAGGAGAGAGAACAAGAATGCACAACACTGGGGAAAAAAGACACAATCCTTTTAATTCCATACAATTACAAAAAAGACAACTATTATCAGAAAGCTGTTCCAAGAAATTTCAGAAATTTTTGTGGAGTTTTTTCCTATCTTCAGCAAGCCCTTGGCTTTATCAGCAGGCCTATAGCAAATTCCAAGGAAATCTCTGAAGACCTAAAAAAAAAGTTTTTTTAAAATTACCCCAAGTAGTTTTTTTCATTGCCCTCCTGAACCACTTTTACACTATCCCACTGTGTATGCGTCAAGTATCCCCTCTCTGCACTTCCAAATACTAGGTTAGAGAGCAAAGAGATGAACAACTTTGATTCCTGGAAACAAACAACACCCCTGCCTCATCTCAGCCCCATATCCGCAGGATTCATCCAGCTGTCACCATCAGCAAATGTGTCATCATAGACAAGGCAGAGGTGGTGTAGATCTCATATGCTACATGTTCAGAGTTACTTAAAAAGTGGCTACTGGGTATTATACTATGTAATGCAGATCTATGATCAGCAGGAAGCACTCATATTTACATTGCTATCATTTGCTGAGCCGTCCACTCCACCAGAAGTCCTTCTCCAGAAGAAAAATGGAAGGTCACCACATTGTCCTGTTCTCCTGTAGAAAGAATGTGGGCACTGAGAGCCAACTAATTTCCATAAAATGGTAAATTAAATTAAATTAAACTAATTTCCATAAAATGGTAAATTAAATGCAGTGCACACTAATAGTAGGATGTTAAAATGAGACATGGAGGAAGGCAGTTTAAAGTTACTATACAGCTAGTTCTTAAGTTACAACCACAATTGTGTCCAAAATCTGTTGCCAAGTGAAAAATTTGTTAAGTGAGTTTTGCCCCATTTTACACCTTTTTTCGCCCAATTTGTTAAGCAAGTCACTGCAGATCTTAAATTAGTGACATGGTTGTTAAGTCAATCTGGTTTCCCCATTGACTTTGCTTGTTAGAAGGTTGCAAAAGGGGATCACGTGACCCAGGGACACTGCAAAATGTCATAAACGTGAGTTGTCAAGCATGTAAATCACATGACCATGGGGATGCTGCAATGGCTGTGTGAAAAATGGTCACAAGTCACTTTTTTCAATGCTGTTGTAACTTTGAATGGTCACTAAATGAACTGTTGTAAGTTGAGGACTACCTATATTCAGTAAATACTTCCATTTAAAGATCCTTTGACCACTTAGAACCTAAGAACGGAAAAGCTACCATACAAATATGAGCATCACTGCTCAAAGTGAATTTTAATTATTTTTCAGAGTACACCAACAAGCCAGCATCACTTTACTTTAGTTCTCCCCAACCTGGCACTCTTTTGAAGAGTGGTTCACTCAAAGCAAGCACACGTTTATGCTTGAAGATCAACTATGGATGTATGACCATCTGTTTCAAGGCAGCCCAGTTCAATGCTGGATTTACCCCAGCAAAGATGTTAGGACCAGCTTGTTTTACTTTGCCTCCTTTTTGACCATGAGATCAGTAATTGGATCTGATGGGAAAGGGATAGGGAGGGTCTGAAATGCTACTTTCTTTTCATCCCACCTTCTCTCGGTATCACATAGAAACACCACCCATCTCCATGAAAAACATAAACAGAGAGAGTACCTTGCAGGCTGAGCTACTAGCTTTGACGGTTACAAGGGAAATGAGGATAATGGCATCTTTTCCAATCATCGAGAACTTCCAGACGGTAACTGAAACATATAAAAACAACCAAATCTGAATTTAAAACCATTCGAGATTGTCTAAGCAAAAGCAGGAATGATTGAATTTCATTAGGATTTTAAAAATCCCAAACATAAATGAGCATTAGACCCCACATTTCTAGACAGTTACTATTAAATGAAAATACTACTTGGAAAAGAGTCTCTGAATGAAAGCTATTCAGGTTGGCTTACAAACACCAAACAACATTGCTTGCAAGATCTTAAAAAAATACCTCAGATTAAACAAGCCCTTAAGATTCATGGAAACAAAAAAGAATAGAAAGAAGTTGAAGAGAATATGTCCCATGGGAACCATCTCTAGTTTATACCTAGAGAGAGAGAGAGAGAGAGCAAATGAATTCCTCAAAAGTCTGCAGCGGTGTTTCTGAACTTCAACAGCTTTAAGTCCTCCTGCCTTGGGCAGGGGTTGGACTAGACCTCCAAGGTCCCTTCCAGCGCCTTGATTCTAAGCCCACACATCTTTAACCTTGCTCTAGAGGAGCACGCAAAAGAATAAAGAGGTGTTCAATCCTGTGGACAGGTTAATGCTTCAGAGTGTAGAAAGGTCGAGTGACATCCTCAGCTACCAATGGCTGGGAAGTCAAAGTCCTTCTCATCTTATTCTTGCATGTTGTTGGAGACCTTGTGGCTACTGGCTAAACCACAACTCTTGGTTTAACATGCCAATCCATTTTCTTGACTTGACCCAAGGAACTCGGGGATCCTCAAACTTTTGAATGGTGACTTTCTAAAACGATGAATTTATGTTAATCACGTCCCTCTTATGAATACTGCAAAGCAGTTATTTTACTGGGGTGAAGCTAGAGAGCCACTCTGGTGTAGCAGGCTAAGGTGCTGGGCCAAGAATCAGGAGACTATGAATTCTAGTCATCCTTTAGGCACGAGAGCCAACTAGATGGCTTTGGGCCAGTTCTTTATCAGTCCAACCTGCCTCACAAGGTTGATGTGAAGGAAATGTCCAGAATTGCACAGATGAGTTGAATAGAATGCAAGATATAAACCTAACAAATAAAGCAGAATGAATTTTTATTAAACTTTGTCTATCAGATTAAATGATCATCACCCCCCCACCTCAATTTGAGATCTCTCGAATTAACTAAGAGGAAGCGTATAGACCAGTATTTCTCAGTCTGGGCCATTTTAAAACAGGTGGACTTCAAATCTCAGAATTCATATTGGCTGGGGGTGGAAGAATTCTGGGGACTGAAGTCCACACATCTTCAAATGGCAAGGTTGAGAAACACTGGTCTAGACTTACATCGGCTATAACCCTCTGCTGAGGATAATTTGTAAGTGTTCTTACGTCAAGTTGGGAGAGGCTTTTATGAACAGCCATGTCCAGCTCCAAAGCAGCAGTCCACCTCATTTCCTTTCCTGCTGAAAGCTGATGGGAAGAAAAAGAGAATTAGACGAAGCCAAGCTACTACAGGACTCCAAAATTAGGCACAGAGATTTATCTTGTTTTTTAAATATTTCCAAGAAAAAAAATATAAAAATTTGCCAATTGAAGGAGAAACGTAATTCATTACTGCACCAGGTTTTCTTTTAAAAAAGGATTTGGGAAGATTACATCCAAAACTATTACTATCTTTTATTTTTAATTTTGTTCTTGATATAACAAGAAGTTACGAAGTATTTTATCTGCAGTTTCTTTCCTTGATTGCAGTATATACATCATCTATAAAGTTAGCTCCTATAAATCCAGAACTCATGGTCTATGTTGCTTTGCTTTCAAACTACAAAATGCCATCAGTGAATATGAAAAACATGTATTTCCCCCAAAATGTTGCTGAAGAGTTATGGGAGAACAAACCAAACAGCGACCGTCAAAGAAAAATATTATTTTAGGCTCCTTTTTGACTGCATCAGCTACAGGTAAGACAGATGCAGCTTCGATAGGGCCATGTAAAAAAAATGCTCAACCTTCCCAGGTAAACCAGACAGGAAACACAAGATGAGCTAAATTAGCTTACTGTAAGGTTACATTAACAGAATCTTCCAAGTCTGAAAATACAAACTTCCTCACCACTTTTAACAGCCTGATCCATTAGGATTTGGTCCTTCCTAAACATTGCTGGTTAGGTATCTGTTTACTGCTTTTTGACAATTTGTTTTATGCATGATTTAAAACAGCCTGTTGGCTGGGGAATTCTGGAAGTTGAAGTCCATGCATTTTCAAGTTGCCAAGTTTGAAAAACATGATTTAGATTGAACTTGAAAAATGTATTAGAATTCTGCATGCTGAAAAGCACCAGACACAGCAACTGGAGAAGGTGGGAATCCAACACGGAAGGTGTGGAAAGTTAGATTTGATCTCAAGGCCAGCTGAGATATTAGCCCCTAGAACAGTATTTCTTAACCTTGGCAATTTTAAGATGTGTGGACTTCAGCTCCCAGAATTCCCCAGCCAACATGGACTCCGTTAATGGAGATAGCAATGCCCATGAAGCTAAATGAAGCAACCTGGTATAAATTCCAGGGAGTCTGAAAAAGGATCTTTTAATTGCACCACTTAAACTACATCCATAAAAATGTTAGAAAAGGAAGCTGGCTGGAGGACTCTGTAGGCCTGATAGAAGAATCCCCTTTTGAAGACCTTTTCTATGAAAGGCAGGATTCTGACAAACTAAATGGGCTTCCGCAGATTCTGAGATGAAAGGGGGGGGGGGTGTCTGGACGACCTGCGAGACCGCACTCCTTTTAGTCTCCCACCGCCAAAGCAACACTGACACGGGAGGGAAGCACCATTCCCCACCCAATTAGGGAATCTCGCGTGGGAGACAAATTGCAAGAAAGCGGCCAGACTCGGAACCAAGCCCCAATACCCGCATTTCCCTTCTTCCCTGGGATGGAGTACTCTCTTACTATGAAATTAAGCCGCCAAACAGGAATCGCTTCGAATTAATTAAGAGGATGGCGATGGATGGAGACGTTTCGCCCCGCTACGAAAAAGAAGCCCCGCTAACCTGCCTCTAGGTCGCCGAGCACGGAAAGAACGGGGGACTCGCCGACGTCGCCTTTTATAGCGCCTGTTAACGTCTAATTCGATTGGCTCCTTTAAAAAAAAAAAGAGAGTCCTGAAAGGGCTCTTGGGAAATGTAGTTTCTCCAAATCCACGTCAGGTCAACAGGGCGCACATACATTCAAGTTCTTATGAAAAGATTTTATTATATCAAACGAATGAACAAGAGGAAAAAATGGATAGGCTTATTTTGAACAATAGATTATTAACGTTGAAATTAAAGAGAGAACAACCCAGCTTGTTCCAACTGGGAAGGCACAAACAAAAGAGCTGTAAAATATTTGACCAAATGGCTTGGAAATAAGAGTTTGTTGCCTTTTTCTGCAAACAGAAAAATTAGACTTTTAGCAAGACATTTCAACCATCCCTTGCTGAAAATGAGGTACAAAATTCCTGCACTGCCAATTCAATGGATTCCTGGTATCTTATACATGCTAGGGACCTATTCAAAATATGTATGCCTCCTTAGTATATATAGCCATACTTGTGGGTGTGAGGATTATCTCTAACTAGAGGAAATATTAAACTTAATATGTTGCCTAAAGCTGCCATTTTGTGTTCATGAAAACCAGAATTTGTAACCAAAGTGCAAAGAATATGTAGACTTAAAAAAAAATGTTTTTTCCATGTTCCATCCACCCATCCCATTGTCTTTATATCTAGACACAAATCAAATCTCAAATGTTCTGCTTGTGGATCAAATGTTTGAGATCTACAGCCTATCCACAATCCCATGAAAGGTCATGTATTCTGATTTTCAGATACAATATTACCTGACGTTTTTTAAAAAAAATCATACAATTCATGTTTACTTGAATATTCCATTTCATAGGTACACCATTTTGACAGGTTATTCTTACCTGGTAAGACTTAGTGATTTGCATAAATTTCTCTAAATTTCTGAACTGGAAATAAACCCTGTTGTAAATATTCACGTTTTCCTTTCCCTGCAGAAATGAACTAGGTGGACATCCACTGGAGACGTTAACACACGTTAACACTCATTTGCTTATAGCAATTTTCCTTTAATCCTCACTACAATAAACGCAGTGTAGTTGTATTAACAATACAACTTGTACAACTTGTACAGCAACAAGCAAAACACCTCAGGCTGATATGGCCTGTAGTCCTATCTAGAGATACTAAAAATGCCAGTTTATAAAACTTGTTCAAAGTGTCAAAATCCCCGCCCTTCTCTGCATCTTATAATATATAAAGGACAGTATCTGTGTATTCAAAAGTGAGGGAAGCAACTTTTATTCTTTGAACACAAGATTATTTATTCAATATAGTTGCCCATCTCAATCCAATTCACCTGTAATCAGACACTAGGAACTTTTGTCAATAATTACTGCATTTAGTTCATTATCTTCATATTAAGACTGACTTCGAATTGCACACCAGCGCAACTCATGAGTGAAATACCGGACCTCATTTGTGGACTTTTTTGCTCTTTTTTTTCTAATAGAGTTCTGAAGTCCTAGGAAATTCTGTTGCATCCTTTCAATGGCTCCCAATAAAGATATTATCCAGCTATGGAGTACACAACTAAAATTTCTCTGATCGCTTTAGACTCTTCATATTAAAATAGAATATCTGGTTGTTTTAACAGAAGTAGCCTCTACATGCTTCAAAATGTACAGTTTGGACCACTTTCAGAAACTGCTAAATATTTGTCCAAGTTATTCCATCTGCTCTCTCAAAGATTTTTTTTCCATACTGTGGTTTTGCTTCAAAATCATTTCTACAGAGTTTTTTTCAGCATATAAAAAGAAAGCGCTCATGGAACTAATCCATGAACCGACTCCTGATCCCATTTACCCTATGGAGAACACCAGATACCCCACCTTACTGTGTAAAAGATAATTTTTTTTTTATTATAGTTGGAATTAAGATTTCCCATCTTTTTTTATTTAGTTCATAAATTAGAACTTCTTGGCTAGGATAAACAAGTGTTGTCTTAGGATCAATAGGGTGGGAAGGGAGAAGAAATAAAACTAAGTCCCCAAGTTCTAATTTCATCTCAAATAAGTGACCACAATCCCCCTCTGCTACTATCTGCTGCTCCACGAGTCCAGGAAGAACCCAAAGCTGTTCTCTGCATCCTTGACTTGAGAATCTGGAGGAGAGAGAGGGGTGAGTCCGTTTGCAGCTGCAACTTCCATGCGCTTGGCAGGAATCCAAGGCCCACTGGCACACGGCTCGGAGGGAGCATATCAGCAACACGGCAATTATACAGCTTGGAGCTCTGAAGAAGCACTGTCCAAAGGCTGCCAATGGCATTCTATCAAGGCATCGTAGAGTTCTTCGCTCTGTTCCATAAACTGCTTGTTAGCTTCACTCACATCCATCTGGGGCATTGGATCTGCCAACGGAAAGAAGCCTACATGAGTGAATTTCGGAAGACATTTGTGTGAATGCTGAAATACAGAATTCTTCCTGGTTTGGGCTGTTGTATCTTGATTTAATAAGCTCCAATCAGAATTTTACTTGCACAGGCAACCTCTTTGAACAATCTACAAGCCAGCACCTCAAACATTGGTTTAATGTTTTGTCCAAACTGGACGAAATAAAAAAGGACGATTAAGAAAGATTTCACTGAACTTAGTGCAAAGAGTCTGTGTAAATAAAATGCCTGACTATACAGCAAATGGGGAAATAAAGATACAGTTGTCAAAATTGGGCCATTCTCCATGTATTCATCTCAAGCACTGTAGCTTAGAAAATGATGGAGAGCTTTTTAATCCATTTGAGAGAAACTTTTGTTTCTCAAACTTTTGGAGTATAATCTTAGGAGAGTTACATACATATAGCAATAGCACTTAGACTTATATACCGCTTCACAGTGCTTTACAGCAGGAGTCCTCAACCTTGACAACTTTAAGACTTGTGGACTTCAACTCCCAGAATTCCTCAGCCAGTCCACAAGTCTTAAAGTTGCCACGGTTGGAAACCCCTGCTTTATAGCTCTCTCTAAGTGGTTTACAGAGTCAGCATATTGCCCCCAACAATCTGAGTCCTCAATTTACTAACCTGGGAAGGATGGAAGACTGAGCCAGGAATGAACTCCTGGCAGCAGGCAGAGTTAACCTGCAATACTGTATTCTAACTGTCACCACACAAGGATGATACAGCACAATCAAAAACACACTTTTGACCAACTGGGGTTTTCTTCCCACTAGCAGCTCTGTATTTGTAAATGCAAATACTTGTTTGGATTAGCAAATATATTTACTCATAATACATCTAGAATATCCAATATTTCAAAGCTTTCTGCTGGCCCAGAAGTGATTTGGTTCGAACTGCCAAATTAGAAAAGGAAATTAATTTCTACTTCTAACGAGAAATTACAATAAGCAACCTTACCTTCTAATGCATCTTCACCCACTTCTTCATATGTCTGCAATAGTGAGAATTAAAAATTATAAAGGAATAAAAAAATGTTTATTTAGAAACATTTAACAAAAGCTTTATGAAGACGTACATAAGATAAGGACTGCATAGTTTTGATGTAAGGAATAATAATGCCTAGAAATGTTTACCCTCACCTGCATGGTACTCTGCGTGTAACCATATTGTGGGTAGCTGTAGCTGTAACTGCCAGTGTTTTGATCATATCCCCAATGGGCATAGTAGTTCTGATATTGCTGGTAGTACTGGTTATAGTTATAATTGTACATCTGATTGTACTCCACCATCTTCAGTCGGTTACTTGGAAAAAAAAACAAGGGTGGGAAATAAAGAGAGAGTCACTGACAAGGATTCTATAACATTTCTGAACAAAATTTAATCTATGATAAAAATCCTGAATCTGCACTCATGTCATTCCATCAAATCTATATATTACTAAAAAGTCTGCCTGTTTGTAACCTTCAATTGGGTAAAACTGTGCATTATAAGGCAATGATTTTTGAATCAAGGTATCTCAAATGGGCTAACTTAAAAGTTTGTATCCAAAATCGGGGACTCAGGTCTCTAAAGGAAAGGAAATTTCAAGGACCTTCAGACCAGTTGTATTGGTAAAGTTCCTTGCCGGCTTCCCACAAGCAAATTCAATAGGGAAGCTGATAGGAAGTCAGAACTTGTTCGCACTGCTTTTTTGTCCACCTGTGGTCATTCTGTTTATTTGTTTAGGTAAGGAAATATTACTGAAACAATGACCCAATGGGCCACAGGTTGTCTAGTAAATCATAACTGTATTCTGCTGAATAGTGTTTGTGGCAGCTTTATTCACTGCATCTCATTATCTTAGACATAGGGAAGCTATGACACTCCACATGGGCTGAACTATAGCTCTCAGCATCTTCAGTGTAAGACCAGGTTGGCTGGCATTGCTTGGGAGTTTGTAACACCTGGAGGGTCACAGGTTGCCTGAATTTCTACTAAGGCAGGCATGCCAAACTCGCGATGTCATGTTTCCCATTGCCGGCAATGGGGTGGGCGCGGTTTCAGTATGATGCATCCAGCCCGCGTACTAAGGCTTTCAGTCACGTTTATAAGGTAGCTCTACAAGGAATCCACCCTTAAATTAATGTACTTATCTAAAACTTTTTAGATCTTTTAGGAAGTCATCATGGCTTCCAACATAAGGGCAGAATCATAGTGTATGACCCAAACAAGTGGCACTGTTGAATTAAGCCCACCTTCCATCTATACTTACGCTTTTGGTATGGCAACGCTCAAGCGTATCGGCTTAGAACCAAGGCCAACAGCTCCCTGGCACTCTACCAGTGCTCTTTTTTGCTCCAATTCATCTGAGAATTTCACAAAACCATAGCCTCTGTAAAATCACAGAATAAGCAAGGAAGGTAAAAGGGAAGGCAAACTTGCATAGAGATTCCCAATCATGCAAGTCATGGTAAGCTTGCGCCTTCTAAGATCTAGTAGAACTTTCTGAAGTGCTGTTGGCTTGTTTGTCACACTCATTTTATTGAACCACTCCTCAAAAAAAAAAAAAAAAAACCCTGGAAATTTTATGGCGCTTAATTTAGTAGGTTTAATTCATTAAGAGTATAAAGGGGAACATACGCTCCCTGGAGGCCAGGGGCACGAGTCCCCAGAAACCTTCAAAACATGTTTATACTTGATATAACACAGAGGAAAATTACAAAATGTCTATTTAGGGAATCATATTTATTACATTAAAATTTAATGACACTGAAAATGTAGTTCTGTCTTGGCTTTTCATTGCAAATGGTCAGGATTATTCTCTTCTAGAAGGCTTAGCTTTCTTTTATAAAGGCTGACAAGATTCCCTCTATGAGGAATGGGCATGCAAAAGTTCTGTTAGTCTAGACCAGGGGTAGGCAACCGTGGCTCTTTTATGACTCGTGGACTTCAACTCCCAGAATTCCTGAGTCAGCATAGCTGACTCCCTTTTATAGTCATAAACGAGCCAAGGTTGCCTACCCCTGATCTAGACCTGAGGTGGGGAGCATGGCTGGCTCAGAAATTCTGGGAGCTGAAGTCCACAAGTCATAAAAGAGCCATCGTTCCTCACCCCTGGTCTAAACCAAAGATGGGGGGGACCCAGGATCTCTGTTCCATTTGGCATGGTTTCCTTAAGTTAAAAGAGGGCCTTCACTCTATAGAAATGTTGTAGAGCTATCCTGTGCAGATAATCCTCGACTTACGATCACAACTGAGCCCAAAATTTCCATCGATAAGCAAGATAGTTGTTTAATTGAATCATGACCCATTTTCTAACTTTTTTACCATGGTTGTTAAGTCAATCACTATGGTTGTTAAGTGAATGATGCAGTCATTAAGCAAACCTGGCTTTCCCATTGATTTTGCATGTCAGAAGCTCCCTAGGAAGGTTGCAAAGGACAATTCCAGGACCGCAGGATGCTGCAACCATTGTAAATACATGCCAGTTGCCAAGCAACCAAAATCTGATCACATGACTGCGGAGATCAGTGTAAGAACTGGTCAGAAGTCACTTTTTTTCAGTGTGTTTGTAACTTTGAACAGTCATGAAACAAAATGGCTGTAAGTCACAGACTACCTACACTAAGTGAAGATACACAAAAGAATAACTGCAAGTGTTCTGAATAAAATAATCTGTGCACTGGGATGGATGCTGGCAGGTTATTATAACTCTGTTGGGCCACTGCAATGAATAAGCCTTCATCACACAATTCAGAGAGACATCTACCATAATAAATATAAAAGTTAAGAGATAATAGTTTACACTGGATGGATAAACTACAGAGGCATCAAAACTTTTACACATCTCTTACCTCCATGCCCTGGATTAGCATCTTAATATTAATTACGGAATAGTATAGAATTCCAGCTAAATCTTTTCAGATTTGTCTTACCCAAAGACAGCTTTGCTTCATCCATTGCAAAACAGGAGGAAACAATGCAAAGCACATGTTAGAAAAGCTTACTTGGAAACGCCCGTCTGATCCACGACCACTTTTCCACCCCGACATGATGGGTATACTTTTACAAAAAATTCATATATCATCCCGTCATCAACATCAGGGGAAAGATCCCCAACAAAGAGGGAATACTCTGGGCTGTGGAAAGAAAATAGAGAAAGAATAGGAATTGTCCAGAGGCAGCCGTCAACAACACTCAATTAGCATCTGTGAATTATTTTTAGGAGATCAGCCAGGAATGTTCAAATTTGGTGGGGGTGGGCGCAATGGGTCTGTACTGAACTAAAAACCAGTGGTGGCATTTTTGCAGAATGATTGCAGAGCTTCAACATATCCCAGCTCTAAAAAGGCAGCTGTGAGGTATATAACCAGTCAAAACACTGAGAAAGCTTTAATATTCAATCATATTTAACACCATCAAGCCACCCTCCTTGAAAATCTGCTCACATTCTTGGAAATAAAAGTGCTGCTGGAGGCTGGTGTTTTGCTTTGCTGGAGGTGAGTTCTTAACCAGCTTTTTTTAAAGAGAATTTTGAAGTATTTAAGACAGTGGTTCTCAACCTTTCTAATGCCGCGACCCTATAATACAGTTCCCCATGTTGTGGTGACCTCCAACCACTTATACATCACCGGGTGCCAGGGGCATGGCCAAAGAGAAGGGGGAAAAAACGGCAGACAGCCTTGTTTGGCGACCCCCGTGAAATGGTCGTTCGACCCCAAATGGGGTCCCGACCCACAGGTTGAGAACCACTGATTTAAGAATTCAGGCCAAAGAATCTGGTAGGTAGGAGATAAATGCGTATGTGCCCTCTGTAGTAAAAACAGGGAACTACAGGGAAGGAAGACTAAAAATGAATTAAACCCTATTTTAACTCGTGTGCCATAATTTTAAACTTTCTCTTTAAAAATGCAGCAAGAGGCTGTTTTTTTCTTTCTTTTCAAGAAAATCAATGACAGTTGTAACCTGTAGTTGTGCTCAATCTAACCAAAACTTTTAAGCCAGTATTTCCCAACCCCGACTTTAATTTCTGGCGTTTTTGCTTCTTAGGGAATTCTGGGAATTGAAGTCCACAAGTCATAAAAAAGGGCCAAGTTTGAAGACTTAAGGTTGCCAACGTCAAGAAACACTGCTTTAAGCAACTGCTTAATTTCATTTTACATTTCTCCTGTCTCTCGATATCTCCAAATACCTATTCAGAAATATACATAAGGAAAAAGGGCTACATTTATTTAGACACTTGGGTGAAAAAGTATGCTGAAAAGTTCTCTTTGTGAATTTTCTTAGGGCAAACACCTCCCTTTGAATACCCTTTAGTTTTCAGTGTAAGTTGGAACTGTACCCATGTGGTATCAAGGAGCTTTGTACCATCTGTTCTTCTGTGATAAGCAGAACTCCCAACAACTTTTCATGATTTGCCATAAGTTCTTATGTTTTATTATAGAAAGTTTTACTATGTCCTCTATCGTAGTTAACTTCTGAACATTAAATGATAATAATTTTAATAACAAGATATGGAAGCTATGTTCATGTTCCTAAGACAGGGGTATCAAACTCACCGCATCACATGATGTGTCATGACGTAGCGCAACTTTTTTCCCCTTACCGGAGCTGGGGTGAGCGTGGCTTCTGCGTGATGTATCCAGCCCGTGGGGCGGCAGTTTGACATCCCTGTCCTAAGCATTTCACTGAATGGCAGTCTTTAATAATACCAGAAGAAACCATGAACAGGGCTCCAAATGCTTTTACAGTTAATAGAAACAGCCTCAAAGTTTATTGCTGTTTCCACCACCCCACCCCACCCAAATATAATCTAGGCCACTACTTCTCAAACTTAGCAACTTTAAGATGTGTGGACTTCAACTCCCAGAATTTCCTAGTCAACCTTTTCTCTAGTTTGTAAAACCCATTTATTTTCCTAGAAGAATGGAATGGCTTTGGCATGGCACTGCTTTTCAATGGACTAAAACATGCGTGAACTAAGGGCTCACTTCTTTGGAATGCAGGCTATTGGTGCCATTAAAACTTAATAGTTTGCAGAGTTTGAAAGGTGCCACAATCCTATTTGCTGCTTTAGCTAAGAAAGTGATTGCTGAGGTTATCAGTTAATGAGTAATATGCACCCACAGTAACCACTGCACTGGATAATAGCAGAGTTAGCAACATAAGCTGGAAAAACATGTTGTACAACTGCCAGGGAATTTTCATCCACCAGCAGTACCACATAACCCCACTGCTTGGGACACTTGTGTGAGGATTGCTCTTCAGGATTTTCTTTGGAAAAATAAGCTGAACATCACACTGGAGCCCCATAAAAGATAAGAACATGGAAATGCTTCTCTTAGAGTTTAGCTTACCTGTTATCAGGCTGCTTCCCATATGTGGCATAGTTTAATTTAAAGCGCTTTGTCTGAAATACAAAGTAAAGATGCAAAAACACATTTTAAACATGACAGTTCAAGGGAAATAACAACTACAGAGTTTTAAAAAATAACTTGAGTTTTGCTACACTGTGATTTGGAATACTCATATATATTTGTACAGATTGAAACATGTTACTGTGATAAGCACCTTCCCTTACTATTCTGATTATTTCAATGGACCTAAACACATAACACCATCTTGTGCAGCAAGATGGGTGCTGGGTGACCTTGAGGCAATCACCAAGAGACTGTGAGTTCTAGTCCCACCTTAGGAATGAATATTGGCTAAGTGATTTTGGGCTAATTATCAGAAGACTCTGAGTTCTAACCCTGTTTAGGCATGAAAGCCACTTTGAGTTGACCAATACACAAAGAAGGCAGGATAAAATATGTATATCTTGCCTTCATTATTTTTATACATTACTCAAATAATTCAAGATGGGGAACATACTAATATCCCTTCCTCTCCCTATTTTTCCCACAACCCCAGGAGGTGGGTTGAAAAGTGTGATGATTTATAAATTCTAATGACTTAAGTGGGGCTCCCTCACAAATGTGGGTGCTTAGGATTTAGGTCGGCTTTTCAGATGAGCTCCTTTACTTACAGGGGTGGCGCCAGGAAGGGGCTTCCCGTTGATTTTATGTAAACATTTCTCTGCTGTGGCCAGATCGGCAAATTCTACAAAGCAATAGCCTGCTGGAATCCTGGAAGGAGAAAAATAAGTCATTCATTGCCTGTGTTTGTGCAGGCCAGTGAAAAATGTTGTGGAGAATAATGCTACCAATGTTTACTAGCCACAATAGCTATATATTACCTCCGGTGTCAAGGCAGTACGCCTCTCAAATCCCAGTTGCTGGAAAACACTAGCAGGAGGGCGCTATTGCTCTCATGTCCTGCTTATGAGTTTCCCAGAGGTATCCCCTTGGCCACTGTGGGAACAGAATGCTGGGCTAGATAGGCCTTTGGTCTGATCCAGCATAATTCTTCTTTATGTTCTGTTTTACTGCAAAGTGAGAGATCAGGACTTGGCAATCATATCTCAAACAACGTGTCAATTATGTTCTGCAAGAGAGGCCATAGAGATGGCGACCAGGATGACAGCTTTTCCAGTAGTGGCAACCTGTTTACAGAGTGATGTTCTCAAGACAAATTAAGGCGGCATTCATATAGATACCAGACTGAAATTACATGCACTTGAAAAGGAATCATTCATCATCTGTCTCTTGATTGCTTTAACAATTTTGGCAGAAAGGTTTTGGGGGTGCTCCCATTCTTAGAAAGGATTAGGAGCTACAATCAATCAGTGAAGAAGACTGATCTAATGGACTGACTCTGGATAAGCATTAGGATTAATTAGCAGGGGATCATTTTATAGATGCCCCAAAGTCATAACATGGCTTGCTTAATTTTAGCCTAATGTGGAATAGGAACCATAATATACTATAGTTTATGCTTCACATAGCAGTTACAATATAGTGGCTTATTCAATAAACCATTGGTCTAGCGCAAGGTAGGAATTAAAGCAGTATCCAAATCACACAATCTATAGATGGGTTTAAAATAACCTCTCCTTCCCACCAAAATATATGTACATCAATAGCCAATAAATGAAAAACAACCCAACAATCTATTCTGAATATGCACATCAACAGCTAATAAATAAAAAACAAGCAAATAACCCCATCAATCTATTCTGAATATACACAATAGCCAATACATAAAAAATAAATCAATACCCTGTCAATCTATTCCGAATTATCTTCACACTCAAAACTAGTTGTCCCATAGTAGCAAAAGCTCTTGAAATGAAGTTCTCATCCATATAGGGCTCCAGCTAGAGAGAGAAAGAGAAAAAAAATAAGACAAGAGTAACATAATGCAGCAACAATAAGAATGATATAATTAAATGCCATTTAAGAGATGCTACTTGAATCTTCTTGCCTGCAGGAGGCTATCTAAAGTTATCCAGGAGTACACCTGTTATTAGAACAAGCTTCCTGAAATGAAGCTGCTAAACTCTTTGAAGAAAGGGAAAATGAAGATGCAGTAGTTTTCACATTTCCATGCTGTCAAAACATAGCTCCAAGCAAATCAAATCAAATCAAATATAGTGGAATGATGGAAGACCCAAGACATCTGCATGGTCCTCTACTTTGTTAAGCATGAAAACATTTCAATGATAGCTAAACCATCCACAACAGAGATAAATTTCTCTACCTGTGTGTATTGTCTTTTAAAAAATATCTAAAAGCAAGGGAATAATGTAGCCCAGTGGTTCTCAACCTGTGGGTCGGGACCCCATTTGGGGTCGAACGACCATTTCACGGGGGTCGCCAAACAACGCAGTCCGCCATTTTTTCCCCCTTTTCCTTAGCTGTGCTACTCCCTTTTATTCTATTGGCTTTTGAAAGCCAATAGAATAGACTCTCTTGAATAGAGTCTAATTCTATTGGCTTTCAAAAGCCAATAGGAATTGTCCAGGCTGTCTCTGCCCTGCTGAGCCCGCCAAAAGTCCCATTCTGCAAACGGTGCTGCACCAGTTGAGTAGTCCTCGACTTACGACCGGTTGGGGGTCACGGCATTAAAAAGGTTGAGAACCACTGATGTAGCCTGTCTCTGTTCCATGAAACAATCCATCAGTATTATAAACCACTACTGAAATTAAAACTTAACATGTGTTACTGAAATAAAATCCTTCTTCCTTTGTTGATTTCTTTACTTCCTGTTCCTTTTGCATCCCTATTTGAAACTGAACATGAAAGAGCTCCGTGCTACCTTGAAATTGAACACATTATTTTGGCATTCGTGGGCCACCTCCCTCATTTCAAAGGCACAAAGTGTTACTCAAAATTAGAGAGCCGTAGGTGGAGGAGACTACAAACAGGATTACTTCAGGATAGCACTCTATGCATTTGATGGAAATTGACAGATGGAAATTTGATCAATGTGCAGATTTTCTAAGCGTTATCCAAGAATTTTTGGTATGGCACCCAATATGTTGATTGCACTGGGACTATCATGGTCTATTATTACTACTTAAATGTATTATGGTAGAGATCCAGATAGTACCGTAGTTAAAGTATCAGACTAGAAGCAGAAGACATGGGCACAGAGCGGGTGGGTCACCTTGGGCCAGTCATTTTCTCTCAGCCCCAGCAAGGAGGCAATGGCAAACCACTTCTGAAAAAACCTTGCCAAGCAAACTGCAGGGACTAGTCCAGGAGTCAATACTGACTTGAAGACACACATATAGATATACGTGTCTCAGAACAGAATAGAATAACGAAGTTGGAAGGGACATTGAAGGTCTTCTAGTCCAACCCCCTGCTCAAGCAGGAGACCCTACACCATTCCAGACAAGTGGCTGTCCATCCTCTTCTTAAAAGCTGCCAGTGATGGAGCACCCACATCATTATGGACACCCCTTTCCAGAAGACTCTGGGCTTACGACATCCCCTCCCCCCCAAATCAAAAGCCACAGCAAAGTCCAGGCAGCAGGACAAAGCAACTCTGCCGCTGGGAGCCATCAAAAGCCCACCGGCTCTCCCGGTCTGGGAGCAGAGCCAGGACTTGGGGTCTCCAAGACATCCCCCCCACAGAGGGGCGTCTGGATCTCGGGGGGAAGGGGCGCTTCTCATTCTTTCTCAAGAACCAACCACCCAGCGAGGGGGAACTTCTGGCACTTCACGATTCCGGAGGGCAACGAGCCCCATCTCCACCTGGATCCGCGAGGAATCCCTCCTCAGCCCCCCCCTCCCGAAGAGGCTCTCCCCGCATCCAGCCCCTCGGCGACCTGCGCGGGCCCCGCTGGCAGCACTCTCTGCTCCCGCCCCGTGGAGAGGCCCGGGGAGCGAGCACTCAGCCCAAGCTCTCTTCCCGCCAGGAGGTTCCTGGGAGGCGGCGGTCTGGTCAGCCGGGCGCCCCTCCCCAACCCACCCGCGGCTCAGCCCCGCCGCCGCCGCCACTCACGTCTCCCATCCACAGGCTGGCGGCCATGCTGCTCTCGCCGCTCCAGGGCGCCCGGGCTAAGGGGCGGGCGACGGGGAAGCCTGCCCCGCTCAACCCCGCCGCCGCCGCTTCACCGCGCTTCCGCGCCCCCTCCTCGCTTTCTCCGTCGGCGCGAGCCCTCTCCCCCCTCCCCCCCTCCCGCGCGTCCCGGCGAGAGGCGAAAGAAGGCCGGAGCGGCGGCAGGGTCCCCTCGGCGCTGTGCACAGCGGCCCCTGACGTTGCGGAGGAGTCGCTGCACAGCCTGTGCCCCGGAGATCGGCTCAGCTCAGCTTAGCTGAGCTCAGCTGTCCCTCTTGGCCAGCCTGAGGGCTTAGTGGGGCCGTTCTCAGCCAGGTGGCCCGGCGTGATGGGAAAGGGGCTCAGTGGCCGGGTTCAACGGGTTAAGTGAATTCCCTCTCGCCCTGAAGCTTGGCTGACCTACCGCCTTTCTCCATGGTGGGATCCGAGGGTAAGTGCTGTAAGCTAAGAGAAGGAGAATGGGATTGGTGCTGTCTGAGCTAGGTTATTACCCAAACTAGCACTGATAATGTTACCTAGTTTGAGTAATGAAGGGTCTGCAACAGGGGTCTTCAAACTTGGCCCTTTTATAACTGGTGGACTTCAACTCCCAGAATTCCTCAGCCAGTGTGCCTGGCTGAGGAATTCTGGGAGTTGAAGTCCACCAGTCATAAACGGGCCAGGTTTGAAGAACCCTGGTCTGCAAGAAAACAACCAAGCTCAGAGAGCACTGAGGACTCCTCATTTCAAATCTGAGCTACAAATATTCTCCTTTATTGGTTCTTTTCTGCTCTTTCCTTCTACCTTTCACAGTATTATAGTCCTTTCAAGAGAGTAAATTTGTAGATTAAACTGTTCAGTGAATCCAATCCAATCACTCAATCCAATTTAATCCACAATATTATATCTTAGCTAGTTGTATGGCTGTGTTTGCATCACTTTGAATGCATCCTTTACAATTTGCCATAGAATCAAAGGGCTGGAAGGGACCTTGGATGTCTTCTAGTCTTCAGAATTTATTTTTTACTGGTATCTGCAAAATACATCACAACCCAATATATTTAGGAAGAAATTGGGTTTATTGGTCAGATACGCTTTGATCAGGGGTCTTGAAACTTGGCCTATTTATTTATTTATTTATTGTAAAACATTTTATTGGTTTTTTGATTCTTAAGAAAAAGTACTCAGGACACGCATAAACATAAAAGCATATATAAATATCTCAAATCGATACATTCAATGTCCCCTCTCTATTTCCCTCAAATAACATAATATGTTTAAAATGTTCCATTTCTAATTTAAATTTCTATAACTGCTAAACCTGTTTTAAAACTTTGTAAGTTTATAATTATCATAATCAAATTTAACTTTAAATCAACAAGTTATCAATTCAGGTATCCCTTCCAGATATATTCTAATCTTTAATCTCTCGCATCCCTTATTTTATCACCAGTATCATTTATTTCTTCTTCCACTACACAATACATATCCTAATTAAAATAAAATGTTAATCTACCATATACATAATCCATCAATCCATCAATCTCTTTAAGATAGCAAAATAATGTTAAGTCTTAAATCATTTCAGTTCATTAAACAAAATTCAGATTTCATCCAATTGATTATCGTGCCTTATCACATCTATTATGATGTTTATGTATGAAACTTGACCCTTTTTATGACTTGTGGACTTCCACTCCCAGAATTCCTCAGCAAGCGTGCCTGGCTGAGGAATTCTGGGAATTGAAGTCCACAAGTCATAAAAGGGCCAAGTGTGAAGACCCCTAAACTAGAGCTTCCATTCAATTGCAAGATTGATGTCAGTCACATGGGTCATCCACATAGGAATCACAACCAAATGAGCTAAATCTACTTTGCAATAGTGGCAAATATCTGTAGGTCAGGTGTAGGATGAGGGTGAAAGTTTGTTCTACGAGCTTGTGGGTTTCGTTTCAGGGCATTTTGCTACTAGGCTAGGTAACATCTTCAACAGAGTTTAGGGGATGTCAGTGTCAGTGTTCTTCTATTTATAAGGGCTTCAGGTGTGAAAATCTACTTTATTGTAATACTGAAAGTCTGAAAGTACAATTCTCCCTCCCTTCAGTTGCTAAGTAGCTTAATTTTGGTCATGGGACCATCAGGAGGCTGAAACGGTTGTGAAAAACTATCATAAGTCATTTTTTTCAGTGCTGTTATAACTTTGAGCATTCACTAAACCAGTGGTTCTCAACCTTTTTAATGCTGCGACCCCAACCGGCCGTAAGTCAAGGACTAAACCGGTCGTAAGTCGAGGACTACCCAACCGGTCGTAAGTCGAGGACTTTCCCTGCCCGGGAGCACCGCGCATGCGTGGTGCCGCCCCCTGTGCCGGCTGAGGCATAGCTGGCAAGTGGTAGAGACAGAGCAGGCCGACCACCGGCTGGACCACCAGCTGGCCCAGCCCAAGGGAGGTAAGGCACCCGCCGGAAAAGGGGAAAAAAATGGCGGACAGCCTTGCTTGGCAACCCCCGTGAAATGGTTAATCGACCCCAAATGGGGTCGCGACCCATAGGTTGAGAACCGCTGCACTAAACGAACTGTTGTAAGTCAGGGACTATCTGTGTATATAATTTAGTCATGCCCAATTCTTGGAAACTACCTGGACAAGTCCCTGTAGTATTCTTGGGAAAGTTTTTCAGAGATGGCTTGCCATTGCCTCCTTTCTGGGCTGAGAGAAAGTGACCAGCCTATTCGTCATCCAGCTGGCTTTGTGCCTCATGTGGGACTAGAACTCACATCTCCTGGTTTCTAGCCTGATGCCTTAACCAGTTCAAAAAACTGGCTCTTGTAATTACAGATACCACCTCACCTTTAACTTAGACACAGATTGTTCTTTTGGAATTCCTTTGTGGGTCCTAGTCAGCTTGTCTTATAAATATACTTAATCTTTTTCGAATGTTAATTACTTGAATTTTTAAGATTGATTGCTTGCAGACCACTTACAGACACATTTTTTGTACTGCTCTAATAAACGGACTGGGTGAATCTCTGCATTCTTGTGCCCAGGGGCAGGGAGGAGATTGTCTTAATGACTGTGGAAACATATTTTACTTCTTAAGTTTCAGTTATTGGAGGTTTTCCCATTTTTAAAAACCACCATTGAAGTTGATCTCTTCAGAGTGGATCGGTTTACAGCCATAAAATAAAATGTCAGAAATGGAAAATTCTGATAACAATGGCTGGAATGGACCTAGAGCGAACATAGCACCATTTCCCATTACAGCATGTAATCAAAAATTATAAATTTTTATGAGCTGTCTCAGTAGAAATAATGTATACCTTTTTTTAATGAAAATTATCAGCACTTTTGATCAGTGACGTCATCAAAGTAAACAAACCCATGTGCTGATTACGTCAGCAGGTCATGGCCCCAAACGGAAGTGACGTGCTCAGCTCCCACCCTCCGGATGTGACGTTTTGGCCTAATCCCATCAAGATTGGCAGTCAATCCTCTGGTTAACCTACATGATTAGGTTAACCCTAGACTAATTCTATGGACATTCAAAACCAAAAAAGAGCTAAGTAAAGTGAATAATTAGCAGAGGCCTGTGTTTTTGGGAAACAAGCTCTACTTTGAGGAATTGTGAAATAAAAAATAAAAAAAGGCTTTTTATTTCTAATCATTCTAGGCTAACGATGCTTTTAATTTTTTGTGGAGTTTTAAAAATCAGTGCCTCAAAAGCTGGGGAAAAAGAAGCCCCTGAAAGACAGCCAGAGCCTGCATTTAACCCCTTTTTTCTAAAATGTATTTTTTTTCTAAAAGATATTTATTTCTAGGGGCTTTAAAATCATTTCCTTGAACGCAGGGGAAAAAGCAAACAAACCACAGCTCCTTTTAAAACCCACAGCTGGTTTTTACCTTTGTAAAAAATCTAAAGATACATATTTTGCCATTTGCACCCTGAATAAAATTTATTCTGCCCCCCTATAGCAACAGAAAAGGAATATGTTAGAGAATTTTAATTTCTCTATTGGTGAAAAATAAATCAGAAGCTCTCACAGTTGACTGCATTTAGCTGATTCAAATAATTTTATATTTATATAAAAATATTTACAATACCATTCTTCTTTACAGCAACATAGCTTAATGAAGACTTCTTACAGAGACAGACCAGAGACAAAACCTGAGACTGGAAATCCAGCTCCTAACTCAATAATCTTTTGCACAGACTCAGTAGCACTTTCTTCACATTGGCTGACTGAATTACCACATGACTCTTCCTGTTCATGAATATTCCAACAGAATATTAGCAGGAATTAAAATGCTCACAAGAGGCAGCCAGGCGGCAAGAAGGGGTTTAAAACTTGTTCAGGCATGTCAGGACCGCGATTCCGGGCATGCGTGTTTCTGTCTGTCCACTAGTAAAAAAAGGGGGTTAGGCCTTATTTGGGGCATGCCCGGGCATGTCATGCTCCCCATGATCTGAGCATGCGCAATGCTCAAGGGCGTGTCATTGCAAGGGGCAGGGGAGTTTGTGCAGGCAGGCCTGAACAGCTAGCAATTTAATCTCAGCAGTTTTTGAAGATGGCAATCTCTGTTTCCAAAGCTGTTTTTACACCAACAGCAAAAGCTAGTGTCAGACACTCTGATACAAGGCCCCAGCCGGCAGAATGCAACAAAATCTGTTGCAGGGGTTATGATAAAGAAAATGTTTTATTCAGACCTGTGTTGCATGGCTGTAGCATGGTGTGTTGTAACTTTAATGATGAGATGCAGAGTACTTACCGGACAGTCTGTGAAATGGTGAATGATGCTACATTATCTCCCAGCAATGGTAAGTAAATATGTTTTTATTTATGATAATGTAAATGATGCTGGAGCGGATAGCACACTAACAGGATGTGCTTTATATTTTGCAGACTCTGAATTAGTAACACCTAGACAGCAAACACCTCAAGACACCCTGCTTTTATATTCCTGTGGTAATCGCCGTGGTCACAAAGCTTCTGCAGATTTTTCTGATCTAGACTATAACAGGGATTATGAGCTATCCCAGAGACCACGCTATCTACCCTGTGAGTTAAAGAGCTGCAATTTGTGTAAAGACTGGTTTGCTTGTGACTGCGGACATGATTTGTGGGGCACAGGTGGGTCAGAGTATTGTAAAATAGCGTGTTATAGTCCTTTATCTTCTGATTCTGATAGTGGTGATGAGGGATATTTTTCTGATGGTGGAGTCATGCACCCTTTGAACTCTGTATAACCAATAAAAGACTGTATTAATGTCAACACTTGAACATCTGTCAGTGGTCTTTCAGTATAACGATGCATGAAAAGCTTCTAAGCTGTATTTATTATACACCGGGGTGTGTAGGGAGTTATGGAGGTATGAATACCCTTTTTCAGGAAGCTAGAAAACATGATAAAAACCTGACCATGAAGCAAGTCAAGACATGGCTGTCAGGGGAAGACGCTTATACGCTTCATAAGCCTGCAAGAATTAATTTTCCTAGAAATAAAACAGTAGTGTCTGGCTTAGATCATCAATGGCAGGCTGACCTCATAGATGTCTCCAAATTTTCTAAGGAGAACCATGGAAAAAAGTACATCTTAGCAGTTATCGATGTGTTATCTAAATATGCCTGGGCCTCCCCTTTATCTGATAAATCAGGGAGGGAAGTTACATCCACCTTCCAGAATATCTTTCAAACAGGACATGCACCCCGAAAAATACAGACAGATGCAAGTAAAGAGTTCTTGAATATTCCGCTGAAGAAACTTTTAGCACGTTACAGCATTCATCATTTTGTCACTCATAGTGAAACTAAAGCAGCCATTATAGAGAGGTTTAATAGAACCCTAAAAAACAAACTCTGGAGATATTTCACAGCTAGAAATACCCATCGGTATGTGGACATTTTAGCAGATACTATTCAGGGGTACAATAACACTTACCACCATAGCATCGGGACTGCTCCTAACACCGTAAATTTGTCTAATGCAGTGGTTCTCAATTTTTTTAATGCCGTGACCCCCAACCGGTCGTAAGTCGAGGACTACTCAACCGGTTGTAAGTCGAGGACTACTCAATTGATGCAGCACCGTTTGCAGTATGGGACTTTTGACGGGCTCAGCAGGGCAGAGACAGCCTGGACAATTCCTATTGGCTTTTGAAAGCCAATAGAATTAGACTCTATTCAAGAGAGTCTATTCTATTGGCTTTCAAAAGCCAATAGAATAAAAGGGAGTAGCACAGCTAAGGAAAAGGGGAAAAAATGGCAGACTGCGTTTGGTGACCCCCGTGAAATGGTCATTCGACCCCAAATGGGGTCCCGACCCACAGGTTGAGAACCACTGGTCTAACGAAAGGGGTGTGTGGATGAGACTTTATGGGGTAGCTTTAAAAAGGAAAAGAAAGGAAAAATGTCTTAAGATGGGAGATCATGTCAGGGTATCCAGACTAAAGGGTAAGTTTGAAAAGGGCCATCAGCAAACCTATATGTATGAAATATTCATCATCAAAGAACTGCAGACAAGGGGGGAAAGAGTGGTGTATAGATTAAATGATTACACTGTGACCCTGTAAAGGGGGCTTTTTACTTTGAGGAGCTCCAAAAGGTTCCTGCTGACCAACAGCGCATATACAGAATAGAGAAAATTATGCAAAAAAGAGGGCGGGGGATACACAGAGAATTTCTAGTCAAATGGACTGGATGGCCAGAGAAGTTCAATAGTTGGGTTAAGGAGATTGAAGTACAACATCTTTGATATGGCAGAGTTTTACATCACCCTTCCCAGCAATGCATCAGCAGCAATTTCCCCCCAAAACAGAAATTCTAATTTTACTATACAATTAGCAAAATCGTTGGATCTTCCAGGGTCATGGGAAGTAGGGCTAGCAGAGATACAGTATCCGCATAGTTGGCGCACATTAACTTCCTATTTTGAAATTGCTAATGAGAGAAAGAGATGGCATTTTTCTTTGAGAAGTGGGTACTATAGCAGCATCCGACAATTGTTAGAAAATATGAACAAGATTATATCAAATGCCAAGGACGGCCCTAAGACAACCCTACAGTATGATGCAGTTGGTCGAAAAATTAACCTTAAAGAGGGATGAACCACATACCATTCTAGTTAGTGGAGAACTTGGACATCTGTTAAGTACGTTCCCTGGATTCAGCACCTTATATGTTTACACAGACATTGTAGAGCTCCAGATAGTGGGTGACTACTATGTGCCATTACTGCACTGTGTGCCTGTACAAGGGCAAGACAATGATTTCATCACAATAACCTATGACCGTCTACATTATGTACCAGTCAGCAAACATCACGTACCGTTACTATAGAAATCAAAACCAACCAGGACAAAAACGTGCATTTTTATCACGGGAAGGTGATTGTCAAGCTTCATTTTAGGCCTCGGAAAAGTGAAGGATGGTTGTAATCAAGGAGCACGGGAGCCTTCAAAACTACATGGCTTACTACAGGGCACAAGTTGGTGGAGGCCTTCCAGGCTTCCGAGGAGCCCCCATTATGTATGGAACAGGGTTAGGGAGTCTGTTCTGTGGACTTTTTTGAAAAGCAATGCCTTTTTTGAGGCGTGGATTAGAAATCATTAAGCCGCATGTGAAATCTGCTGCCAAAAACATTGCCAGAGATGTTGTGGGGCATCTTGTATCCCAAGTTGTTGAAAGGGTGCAGGATGGATCAGGGTTGTTCATAGCCAGGAAGAATTATGCATCGGGCCCGCCTATTCCATTTAAAAAGAGAAGACTTGTGAAAAAGGCCCGTCATACCAAGAGGAGACGTGCGCAGAAGAGGAAGCCCTGTGACAAGGAAGACATATTCTAATACAATATGTCATTTATTCATTCTGCTTCAGAGGAATGTGTTAAATCAGAACTGGATCTTTTTCAACTGGCACCACAGACCAGTATTGAAAACAGTACCTATGTCGTGATCCCTCCTTTATCAGCGCTAACACCCAACGCTCCCCTGGAATTTTTTATCATGGGGCATGGTGAGCATTACACGGATTTAAACAACACCCTGCTGTATGTGAGTTGCAAGATTGTAAAGGCGGATGGGACGGATATTGATGATGGGGCAAGGGTGGGCCTGACCAATTGCCCTATAGCATCACTGTTTAACCAGCTGGATGTTACCTTGGGAGATTGGCTCATTACACAGAGCCATCATTGCTATTCTTATCGGGCCATGATTAAACTGATTCTGATTCTGCGAGAGCAAGACACACGGCTGGTAGTCGTAAATGGGATTTGCTAGGATCTCTGCATAGCGATCTGTTTTTTTCAAGACAGAGTGCTGATTAACGGCGTTGATGTGAAAGTCAAACTCACAAGAAGCAGAAATGAATTTTGTGTGATGAAGTGCAACTCCTGGCAGCTTCTCTCTTTGTAAAACGTGTAAAAGTAGCCCCGGGAGTACACCTTGGCCATGCAGAAACTTTGCTCACCTCCAATGCCAAATACCCCATTGATCGAGTGGGGATGAAGGTTTACAGTATTCCTGCAGGTAGCCTTGTGTGTAATCAGGAAAAACTATTTCTGGGGCAGCTACCTAAACAATTGGTGATTGGGTTTGTGGACAATGCATCTTTTAGTGGGAATTATGAAAGAAACCCGTTCAATTTTCAACACTGCAATTTCAATTTTTGTGCCCAGTATTGTGATGGCGAGCAGATCCCCGCAAAGCCTCTTCAGACTGATTATGAACATGGTCTTTTTGTGAGAGAGTACATGCAGATGGTGCAAGCCACAGGCAAAGGCATGAAAGACAGGCCACTGATAATCAGCCAGGAAGAGTTTAACCAAGGGTATATTTTGTATTGTTTTGACTTGAGTCCTGATCAGGGGTGCTCTGAGTACTATTCTTTGATCAGGAACGGTAACCTCAGAGCTGAAATTAGATTTGCACAACCCCTCCCCAACACCATCAACATGATTCTCTATGCAATCTTTGAAAACTTTATTGAAATAAGTCACACAAGGAATGTGCTTTTTGATTATATGTATGGACACACTGCAGCTCCTCCAATTGTTCTCTGGAAATACTGCCTTTCTAGGGATCTATCCTTGTGACCTGCTACCCCAGCGATATATCTCCAAAAGACCTTTTGGATTAATTGTAAATACTCACCCTCACACTCTGCCTGGTGAACACTGGCTGGCCCTCTACTTCCCATCTCCTGGATATGAGCCGAGGTGGCGCAGCAGTTAGAGTGCAGTACTGCAGGCCACTTTAGCTGACTGTGTTCAGCAGGTCAGCGGTTCAAATCTCACCGGCTCAAGGTTGACTCAGCCTTCCATCCTTCCGGGGTAGGTAAAATGAGGACCCAGATTGTTGGGGGCAATGTATATATATATACATTGCTTACTGGTGTACACCGCTTAGAGAGTGCTTGTACTTAAAGCGGTATATAAGTCTCATAAATAAATAAATAAATAAATAAATATGGTGAATTTTTTGATTCTTATGGAAGGCTGCTGGATAGCCCTGACTTTCCTGGCTCTATAGTGATGTTTTTAGAGCAGCAAGCTGAGTAGTACACATTTCACCAACGTCAACTGCAACACCCCAGCGCTGTGACCTGCGGGCAACACTGTGCGTTTTTTCTACTGAACCGGACTAGAGGAGTGGACTATGAAAATATTTTAAAGATGTACTCCAATGCCGATATTAAAAATGATCACATGGTAAAGCTGTTTGTAAAAACTATAAAGGTGGGAAGGGGGCTTGGAACCTATAAATGTCACCAATGCATGCCTTATTGCAAAATAAAGAAAAAGACTTAAACGTTTTTACTTGTTTCACTGTGTTTTTATTCATTTTACAAATTGAGCCAGTCACCAAACTTGAACCTACTTCTAGGATTTAATGTCCAAGGGCTAGAGGGGGTACCGGTAATCAGAGGCTTCTGAGTCCCAAAAGGGGGTGTCATAACAGAGATGGGGTTAGTAGCAGTTTCATCCTTAACAATCAAACAATCTTTCAACTTTTCTATTTGCTCTTTAACAGTTGTAGACCCCAACACAGAGGTTGGAACATTCACTTCAGCCATAGCATTTATAAAGTCATCCCAGCCTTTAGGTTTCCGCTTCTCAGTAGGGGCTCGGTGTTGCGAGGCTCCTTTCACCAAGTCTAAAATATTAGTACCAGGAATAGGGACCCCTTTGTATAAAAAGGTACCATGATCATCCCAGGTTGAGACGTCCTGATGCTGTTTCATTTTGTTCAGCAAAAGTTCTGCATTTTTCCTGTAA